CGTTGCCTATACACCTCTGGATGAGAAGAGCCTTGCTTTATTACTCAACTATCTTCATGATTTCCTCAAGTATGTGGTGAAGAATTCGGCAACTTTGTTTAGTGCCAGTGATTATGCAGTGGCCCCTCCTGAGTGCCGTTGGAAAGCAGTGTGAGGCGCTCTCATCGTGTTTGGATCCCTGTCGACACATTTTTATTCCTACTCTTTCTCTTGTACAAATGATGTACTTTGAAGACGTTAGTGTAGAATAGAGTTGATGTTTGTTTCATTTGATTTTAAACAAAGAAAAGGGGTTATAGCCCCTTTTTTCTTTTTTTTTTTTTTTCATTTCAAAGTTGCTACCAGTGTATTCAATGATGGTCAAGAGACATGGTGTAGAGTGTTTTATTGCCTAGGCGATAAAGCTGCTTTTGAATGCTGGTGGTTCTATTCCTTTGACACTACACTTTTATAATACATGTCAATGCTATATAACATTAGCATAAAATGCTCTGATTCCTAGTGCCAAAGTCCCAATTCAGTGTATATAACTGAACACACTCATTCATTTGTGCTTTTTTTAAAAATGGTGCTTAAACAGCCCATCCTTTGCAAGTCAGCCACGTTGTTCCTTAGGCGTTTTATCTTTGCTCAAATTGTTGAAGAATGGTAAATTGTTCCATGGTTTTTGTATTTGTGTCTAATGCACACTTTAACATGATAGACACAATGCATTGTGTAGCTACAGTTTTCTGGAATAGTCAGTCTTTTAGGAATTGTTTTTTAGGTCTTCAATAAATTTTTTCTTAAATTAGAAAAAAACTCTTTTTCTAAACAAGCTAGCAGAAACTTCAACATGCCATTACACATTATGACTCTCCGAAGGTGATAAAACATGTGTCAGTTGTTAAATTTATTGTTGCCATCTTGTACTGTATTTCAGTGGAGGCTCTGTAAAAACAACTGTGTGAGCCAGGCATGACAGTGCATGTCTATAATACCAGCACCTGGGAGGCTGACGCAGGAAGATCCCTTCGAGTTTTGAGGCCAGTGTGGGCCACAAAGTGAGTTCAAGGACAGCCTGAGCTACATAGGGAAAGCTTGTCTCAAAACAAAAAAAGCAACAAAAAACAAAACACAACTGTGATCAGAGACGTGCTATTGATGCACTAGAGGCTGTAGAGGCAAAAACAAAAAACAAACAAAAAATGAGGATATATGTCCAGGTCAATACAGGTCAGGTGATAAAGACGATTATAGGAATGTAATATAAATACATTGTGAAGAGAAGGCCTTAGCAGTTGAAGGGACATGGGCAATAGACACAGGCAAAGGACACAGGACAAGATATAGGAGGTAAGGAGCCATACGTATTCAAACATATATTTGATTAACAGAGAAAATGGGCAATCTTTTCATAGAAATTTGTAATATCAAAGATGCATCTTAGTAGGATCTGGATAAATTCACTGAAGGAATTAAGGGCAATTTTGCTGGAGAGTTGAACCTTCTGATTTACCTTTTACTCTGCTTTCTTGTGGAATTTTCCTTCTTCCTTTCTTCAAAGATATCCCTCTTAAAGTTGTATTACTACCAAATCTGGCTACTGAGGGAAAGTCTTATTAAGTCTTTTTTTCTGTATCCTAAATGACCATTCTTTCAGAGTTGAGTGGTGATGAGTTAAAAAAAAGTAAACGCCCTTATTAGGATCCCACGCTAGCCAGTTGCTTAGGATAATATAATGCATGGGGCAACGCCCCCCACAAAAACAAAGGGACACATGCCAGGAAGTTACAAATACCTTTGTGAGAAAGAGTGATTTTTTTAAACTACTCTCAGAATTCATCCATTTAAGGATGGCAACATTACTATCAATAATTATATCACTATTATTAAAGTCCATTTTATGTACTTATTTGGATTTTTAATAATATGGACTGTTAGGTACCTTCATTGAAAGAGGTTTATGTTGGTTTCTGCTTACCAATACAGCCTTTGTGACTTGACACACTGCAACTTGGATGTCAAGAACAAGAATTTAGATATCTACGGATTTAGACTTAAAATAGTGGAGCTTTTATGTGAATGAGGGTCTCCTTTTGCCAAATACAATAAACTACATTTTATTAATGTTTTTTCTAGCACATACACTATTATTTACCCAATCCCTAGTCATGATGAGTCAGTCAGAAAGTTACTCTCTCGTGCCCCTTCTCTTTTTTTTTTTTTTAAACTGGGCGTTGAACCCAGGGAGCACTGAGCTACATCCCCAACCCTTTTACATTGAGATGTTCTCACTAAATTGTCCAGGCTGGCCTCCAAATACTTTGACACAGAGTCTTGCTACATACTGTGTAGCTCAGCCTAGGCTTGAACTTGCTGAGATCCTCCTGCCTCAGCCTCCTAAGCAGCTACTCATGTAAGTGGGCACAACCTGATGTAATCACTTTTGGGTACTCTTACATCAGATTTTTGTTCCCTCATTTATAAATCTCAGCTTCTTTTCCCTGATAAGCTAAGACAAATGCTCTAATTTATTGCTAAATCATCTCCTAGATGATGATTATATGGAACCAACTAGCTCGGCCTCCTTCATAGTGGTGGGTGTTTTGTTCCAGGAACAAAACAGTGACTAATACACAGCAAGGCTCTGTTTCGAAAAAAAAGAAGATTACTGGTTCTTTCCCAATTAATCTTTAACTCTACACTTTAAAATACAAACAATAAAAATTGGACATTGAGTAAGGGAAAATTAGCTATTGTGGCAGTTAGGGTGGGATTTCACCTCCATGGCTTTGGGATCTGCCCTGGAATTCGTGGAATGCACTTCTAGGTGTCTGGGTGGGTTTGTGATTTCTGGCTATTCCCTTGCAACTCAAGACACTCTTCCCCCTGCTCTGCTTCCCAGCTGCCATGAGATGAGCAGTTTTCCTCTGCCATCCCCTTCTAACCTGCTGTTCCTGCCATGGAGCAAGCCAGCGAACCATACATGCACTGAAATGGTGGATAAAAGTAAATCTCTTTTAAACCGAGGGTGGTGGGTGTTTTGAACCAGCAAGAAAAAAGTGACTAATAAAAAACGATAACACAGGTTGACTACCTCAGCAAACTTGGACACTTCTCATTTATAGGCCTTTTGAGCAGTGGGATTATCAAGTGCTGGGATTATCAAGTGCTGGGATTACCAAGTGCTGGGATTATCAAGTGCTGGGATTATCAAGTGCTGGGATTATCAAGTGCTGGGATTACCAAGTGCTGGGATTATCAAGTGCTGGGATTATCAAGTGCTGGGATTACCAAGTGCTGGGATTACAGGTGTGCACTACCAAACCTGGTTATCTAGTCATATTTTGCATTATAATTCCTTTGATAAAATCCTTGACAGAATTCAGTCTGCATTTGAACTTTCTGGCACCTAACTTTGTACCCCCCAAGGTATATTTTCCACTACTAGGCATTTCTAAGTTTTAAGAAAGTTCTCCTTACTTTCAGCTTTATTATTTTTGCCCAATCTAAAACCCTCAGTAGCCAGGCATGGTGGCACACGGCTATAATCCCAGCACTCTGGAGGCTGAGGTAGGAGGATCACCACGAGTTCAAGGCCAGCCTGAACTACAGAGCAAAACCCTGTCTCAAAAAAAAGAACAAACTATCTATCTATAGTCACTTTTCAACAATGAGATTTCATAATGCTCAGACAAAGGCATGCATTGTGTATTACGAGTTAACTTTTTCGGTATCTGGAATAGTATTAGTTACATATTATCTTCAGGAAAACTGAGAAAATAGTCACTCAAATAATTTGTGCTGCATGGCTCAGAGGAGGAAATTTAGTTGAAAGGCTGCAAGACTACCATTTTCTAGCTGACGACCTCTTTTGTTTCTCAGAAAAAAAATAATAGCATAATTTTCTTCTGGACTGCTATGAGAATCAAATAGAGAGAACTCCATTAATTAGTCAGGGTCCTTACCTATCTTGTTCACTATTTTATCCCATCCACATAATATAGGCAGTAGCAGGCTCAGAGTGAATCTTCAGTAATCTCAATAAATAATGAGTAATTCCCTTAGGTACATTGCCTTGCAAGTACTATTAAATAAATAAGAATTAATATTATTCTCTCAATCATCCTTCCTATGATCTGGTTTCTAGACCTTTCGATGTTAGGTAAATTCTTCAGTTTATCTCTTTCTGATGTGATTCTTTCAGATACTGTGTAAGTAAGGCAATTTTGCATTATTTGAACACAGTTTTTAAGAAAGTCTACACAGAGGACAATCTACTGGAAAAAAGCTAGCCTATTTGCTTACACAACGAATTGGCACAACTCTTTCAATACTATTTGGCAAAGGGAATAATTTAAAGAGTATTAAGGTTTAAGTTTTTTGATGGGGGGGTAGGGTAGTAATGGCCGAGACAGAA